CTGCGCCATGGCGGCGGCGTCGTGAGCGCGGCGTGAGTGTGCTCGGCTACAGCGTCCATGGGGCTAGGAGGGGTCTACGGTGTGGTCATGGATGCTGTGCTTGTGTATCCAGAGGCCGGAGATGGCCTTGGCCTACGCGCTCACGGTGTGGAGCGCCATGGCCGGAATAGCAGAGTCCGGCGGCGAGCAGGGGAAAATCGAGCGCTCACCGTAGGTGCCGTGGGAGTTAGGATGGTGGTGCAGTGGAGAGTCGTGGCCATGTAGACGGAAGCAGTGCAGTGCCGACCCGCAACGGTGATGAAGATGTCAGCGTCGTCTCCCGCTCCGGCGGCTTCTCCTTCTTCCTCCTCCCTCTCCCTTTCTTCTTTCTCTCCTTTCTCTGGCTCGGTGAGAAGTGGTTGGCCACCAAGTGGCGGCGGGCGATGGGGCGAACGCTAGGGCAACCGAGGGCCTTGGCTTTTATAGCCGGAGCTCTAAGCTCCCATGGCGGATGACGGAACGGCTGGTGATGCGCCGAGCGCATCGGACGGCTCTCGCTCATGGGGCGGTTGCGTGGGTGTGGCGCGCTAAGGTGGGGGGACAGGGTCATGCGATGTGCGTGATCCCGGGCCCGTCTCTTTTCTTTGGTCGGGCTCGGTCGAGAGATGAGGGCGTGGGGAAGAAGATGACCTCAGAGTGGGCGGCGGTGACAGAGGGGGGCCCATCCGCTAGCTTGTCCTGATCTTGGCGGCGTCACGGTGCGTGACGGTGCCGACGGGTGGTCCGGCTCGTCGATGGCGTGCACGCATAAAGGGGGCTGGTGGTTATTTGGGCCGTCGAGGCGGTCAATGAATGAAATCGCCTCCCTCTTCTTTCCTTTTTGTATTATGTTATACTTCTCTCATGTATATAAATCAAAGTGGCCTACTTCTCCTCTGATAAAATGTTCCATGGTGATAAACATTGGTCAAAGTATATATATTGGGATATTAATCCCATGTTAGTTCATTTATTTATAAACACGTATTTGTTAGCTTTTATTTAATCAACACATAAATCAAATAAAATCCAAATCACCATGTTGAATATAATGCAACTTGATATATGCTATGTGGTAAAATAAATTCTAGGTGATGAGGTGAGATACTCGTGCCAGTCATATAGGTTTAGTTAGTGCAAGGTTAGGGATTTTCCTACATGCCACATCATCACTCAAGGGTTTTGAAGAAAGAAAAATTTTGTAGTTGGGATTTTTGGTGTGTGGATTTTTGGGTTGTTACATTGGTTCCTTAGGTAAACTATCTTCTTGGATACATCTAGGTACACCCATGTAGTACCATCCAAGCAAACCAAGCATCCCGTCTTTCCTTTGATCTGTCCAGACAAAGCAAACAGCGCGGGGTAATCATTGGTAGTAAGTAGTAACAAATATTATTGCTCTACATATGAGGTCCTCCTTTCGAAACACATCGTACATCTACTCCCCATGCCTCCATAGACTCTCCATTTCTTGCATCAAAGGCTCGAGGAACACGTCTATATCAATGCCTGGTTGTTTAGGGCCAGAAATAAGAATAGTGAGGAGAAGGTACTTTCTCTTCTGACACAACCATGTTGGGATGTTGTACATGGTCAAGATCACTGGCCATGTGCTGTGGTCGCTCATCCTCCCATTGAAGGGATTCATTCCATCGGTGCTCAAGCCAAACCGTATATTCCTTGGGTCATCGCTGAATTCTTTGTGCTTCTCATCAAACCTTTGCCACTGACTACAATCAGCCGAGTGTGCAATCTTATCATCATCCACCTTGCGCTCATCATCCCACCATGTCATGAGTGCGGCTTCTTTAGGGTTTAGGAAGATACGTCTCAAGCGGCCAGTCACTGGCAGGTACCACATTACCAAGGCAGGAATTCTTCTCTGCTTTGCATCGTTGCCTAATGGAGTGTCCTCTGGGGGCTGAGATTCTTGTACCACCTTTTTTGTACCCTTCTTATTCCTCTTTTTCCCCGTGGAGGCTTTGTCCCCACCGTAAAGGTCATTGTTCTTGTATCGGCTGGCCCCACACCGGGGACATTTATCCAGTGACTTGAACGTTTCGCCATGAAAAAGTATACAGTGGTTGGGGCATGCATGGATTTTTTCAACTCCCATTGTTAATGGACTTATGACCTTCTCTTGGTATATGTTGGCGGGAACTGAGTTTGGTTGTGGCAGTACCCATGACAGCAGATGCAATAGATCATTGAAACTACAGTCTGACCAGCCGTACTTAGCCTTCAGGATGAGCAGCTCAAGCACAAAACGTAGCAATGTCCAATGTGTCGGACATCCCTTTTCAACACCATACACAGTCTCCTTCGATGCTTTTGTCACCCTTTCCAAATTTTCTAGACATTTTGGGCTATTTAGTAAAATCTCTGGTCCAAGGGCTCGAATCATGTCCTCCAAATCATCTTCATCCCTGACACGTGCTCCACCATCATTATTGGCACCACCTTTGTCGTTACCATCCCAACCACCAGCATCACCACCTTGTTCATTGCCAAACTCGAAATCCATTCGTGCATCAAGCTCTGCTGAATATTGTGACAGGGATTCTATGGTTTCGTCGTCGTATTCGTCCTCATCCTCGTTGTTAACAATAACTGTTTCACCATGATGAATCCACACTATGTAGTCCTCAACAAATCCTCGCATAATCAAATGTGATATGATGATAGTCACATCTGTCTATGCCATACGGTTCTTGCAATCTTTACATGGGCAAATAATTGTATCCTTATTCTCTTTCAATGTCGTTGCATGCTTCTTTGCGGCTTCAATAAATTTATCCACCTCTTCACGGAAACATGCCTTGAACCTTAACGAACCATACATCCAAGAGTTCCCGTACTCCATCTTTTACAACAACAACAAAACAAACATTAAAGGACTACTTATTCAGATATATATAAAAATAAAACAAATTAATAATTACTTGAGAATAATTGTATATACTTCAGATATATATGAATATAAATCTAATATAATTACATGAAGCATATAAATACACCATGGTAAAGGAAAATTAATTAATGGTCCATTTATCCATAAATAATTAAAATACATATTTATTGATTATAATAAACAATTTCAAAGACAACAATTAGCAATAATTATATTTTACCCAATATCTTTCATACAAACCATAGTCTAATTTCATCAAACATAAATTTACAAAAACGAAATTAATAAAAAAAACCAAACCCTAGATCTAGATTCACATGCACATGAAACATCCATAAAACTAACTAATTGTTCACTAAAATCAAGAAACATGGACCAAATAAGTGTATGATCTTGTTCCCCTCCCTAATTTACTCTAGTACATTTAAAACTTGGGTCTAATTTGCTTCATAAGTAGCTCAAGCACCATAGAAGAGAGAGAAAAACAAAACTCTAATTACTCACTAACCAACCATTAAAACTTTAAAAAAAGTATGGAATAGTATTTTCTTACCTTTTACAACCTCTCCACCAAAGGATTTAAGACCAAAATCTTCCCCCTTAGTAGAACAATTTTTGAGAGGTGTCCAAGGCCTCCTCACCTTTTTTTACGGGTTGGAGTGAGTGACCCGAGGAGAAAGAAGGTGCTGCAGCTGTTTTATATGTGGGTCATTTGTAGGGGCGGCTGGGGATTGAGCCGCCCCTATAAATCGGAGCTATATATACGGAGGCATTTGTAGGGGCGGCTCAAATAGCAACTCCAGGGACGGCTGGTGATTGAGCCGCCCCTACAAATTAGACCACATTTGTAGGGGCGGCTCGTATCAACAGCCGCCACTGTTGTTCCATTTGTAGGGGCGACGGGTGTCTGGGCACCCGAGCACGCCACTGTAGGGGCGGCTCCATCACCAGCTGCCCCTACAAAAAAATTCAACCCGTTGCTAAAAATCGTTTTTTACGCAGTGAGATTAGCAGATTGCGTCTGTGAAACACATCAACAGTGAACAAGTACCTGCGTCTTATCTGCGCTGATCAAGTCTGAGTACAGATTCAGATACCCATATCAGCAGAAGTTTCATTCAGATCGTGTAAGGACACAATCCTGTAACTGACCTTACCTCATATTTTACAAGTACCATTTTCTTTCTGTTAATAGGTCCAATTACATCTAAATTTAAATTAAACTCTAGGTACCCTTTTTATGATGTGTTCAAACTTTTAAAAACTACACTACTACTATAAACGATTTTTAGTTGATAAGATTCAGCCTTTCCTTTTCTTTTTTTTGAAAGGGATTCAGCCTTTTCTTGCTACATGGAGGCAGTAGCAATATATTTGATCATATTGAAAACCCTCTTTTTATGATTTATGTATGGTTTAATTAAGTATAAGTGGTTAAATGAAATCCAGATGTTTCAACTTTCAACACATGTACAAGACAGACCTAAAAGAGCTTCAAAGTTAACTTGACGCATGTGTATTTGTACACGATATGGCAATTCATGATTAATACAAGTTCACAATAACCGCAAGCAAAGTAAATAGCAATACACAATTGGCACTTTTTGAAATGAAAGTGTCGTTTGAGGGGGGAAAGAAAATAAATCAGCTGGTTGGATCAATTTACACTACATGGCAGTGTTATGGATGCACAAGGATGTGTATAAATAAATTATCAAAAGTGGAACAATGCGGAAAAGCAAAAAAGAGCAGCTTCCAGAGCACAAGTTACAGTTCAGATACGGATTATAGAGCCTCATCCCAAATTTACTCCAATCCTCCTGTGCACAATTCATTGGGTGGTCCCTAGCAGGGCTGCAGGAGGCAGTTCTTGATCTACTCCGCAGGTCCACCGCCGGCGAGGCACGGACAGCTGCAGACCGGAGACAGAGAAGAAAGAAACAGATTAGAAGTTAGAACCACTGATCAGTCGGCAGTTGCTACTAACGAGAAGTAAGAACGTCGATGTGAAGTTATGAACTCAACATGTGGTGCCTAATTAGGTAAGTTCCTTGTGTATATATAGTGGTAATCAGAGATTAGGATTACCATTTGGCCAAGAAGCTTGGAGTGCTCTGCTTAGTGGTTTGCTGCGGCACTGCTTCCTGTTGCTGCTTGTGATGGCTCCCCGGACGCCCAACGAAGTAATCTTACATTCGGACAAATAACATAAATGGGTCCAGTTTAATTTGTCAATGAAACAGCAGTCCAGCAAACTGAGCAACGATGTGTGCATGTCTGGATCCATTATACGAATGAATGAGTTGAAACGGCAAAGCATGAACCTACCGCCAGGAGTTTGGGCGGTCGCCGGGTTCTGCTCGCCGGCGGCGTGTGGCGGTTCTTCCGTCTTCTCGGCGGCGTGGTTGGTTGGATGGCCTACGAAGTAGCCTCCTGCACCAACAAAGGATTAAGGAAAACAGAGTTTACTGTATCTGCACCGCAGGAATTGAAGAAAGAGCAGGGGAATCAACTCGACGATTTCACCGCAGGAGTTGAAGCCGGTTAAGAAGTGATGATACAGATACCACAAAGAACGGTACTCGCTGTTACTCTCGCAGAAGTGGATGGACCATCGATCATAGATAGAAGAGCTGACTAGTTTGAGAGAGAGAGAGAGAGAGAGAGAGAGAGTACCAGGAACGTCGCTCTTCTGGTCGCTGCTCATGGCGGATCTGCCGGCGGCGTCTTCCCCCGCTAGCTAGCCTCTGCCGGCGCGGCGATAGCGGCTGGCAAGACGAGACGGCCAACTGGGCAAGAATGCCACAAGCTCAGACGAGACGACCAAGACGGCTACAAGTCAAGAAGAGAGAGAGAGAGACTTTTTCAAAGAGGGACAGAGAGCTCTCACCAGACTGGCAATGATTCAGCTCCGGCACAACCTCAATTATCCTCCGAAACAATCTTGGCTCAAAAAATAATTATCCAACTAAGGCCCTGGCCTGGCCGTGGAATGTACTACTAGCTGCTATTGCGAACTTGAGATGGCAAAGAGCCAAAGGTTTGGACAGCAGAATCTTGGTTGGACACACCACAACTCCTTGTCTATCCCAGTGACTGTAATCCCAGCGACAGGGGCGCCTACGTAACAAGGCATCAGCATCAATTGCATCGGGCGATACTGGGTGCATGCTGACCTCCGACAAACCAACCATACCGATATATGGTTCCGTTCGTGTCAGCGTTGTTTTGCACACGTTGGAAAACGGATGAAACTTGCACTGAGACGGTTCCGTTCGTGTCACCCGATCCGCTGTGGCTAGCTGTGGCAACGAGGCTGTGCGCTGATCAAGCAGCCGCGTCAAATCTCTTACCCTTTCCGTCAAATCTCCGTGGCCCACCTGCTCCCCTTCACCTTTGTCCATTCCGTCAAACCTCCATGCTCCCCTTCACGTTCCAAATCTCAATTTCTCCGATTCTTTTTATTTTTCTTTTGCAATTGTTTATTTTGTCTCTCTAGACTGCACGGGTCGATGAATATGATTATAGATATAAATATAATATGCTGTGTGAAAGTGTAATATTCTACGTGTCTACGAATACTATATATATAATATAATGAATTTGTGTGAAAGCGTAACATTGTGATGTGCTAGTTTTAGAAAATATAAAATAGCTACATAGTTCACATGACACAATTGATCATAGCACATCACAAAAATTAAATGTTGCAAGTAGTCTATGAAAACAGTGAAATGAATGTGTACACTGAGAGTATCTGTTTCATTCACAGTTACCAATGATGTCACGTCTTGAAAACAGTGGGACGAAACCTCCCACTAGACTGACCTAAGAAACAGGAAGCCACGCATTTGAATTTGTAGTTGCATTGAATATTCAATATTTCTGCATCAATCTAAAAAAACAAATGTACAAGGGAAAATATCAGCTTCTTTCACGGGGTCCAACACAGCTAAAACGAGCCCCCAACGGCTGGAACCGAAGCCAGCCCCCAACCCAGCCCAACCAGGGCGGAAGAGACAGGTTACGTGCCACAAGACGACGACGAAGACGTAGAGGCGAGAAGCCTCGAGGCTCTAAACTAGATGCATGAAGAGCTCCAAGAGAAAAGGCATCGAGTCAAAGCCCACCAAAGGCAGGCGCGCTTACAAGTGATAAGGCAGAAGGCAAGCGAAGCCAGGGAACAACTCAGGTAGATGGATGAGTACCTAGCCTCCGTCGAAGCTGACCCAAATTACCTACCCGAGTAGTACGATTTACCACCTCCGCTACAACCAAACCCACCTCCGCTCCATCCAAACCCACCACCTCCGCCACCACCTCCTCATTTTCACCAAATCTACCCAGAATACATTCCCCTAGCCATACAACAACACCACAGAAACCAACCTCCACTAATGCCATACAATCCAAAATCCCCATTAACCCAAATACTGCAAACCAAAACCTAGCCGCTTGAATACAAACCACAGAACTTACCAAGGTACGATGGAAGCATAGACCCTCGCCAATTCGTAATGAGCTACGAGGCTGCTGTGGCAGCAGTAGGCGGGGATGAGTACACCATGATAAAATCCTTCGTAATCATGGCAAGGGACATTGCTCAAAGCTGGTACAGCAACCTCCCGCTAGGCTCGATAGATTCCAGGGGAAGCCTCCACAAAAAACTATGCAACAACTTCAAAGGTGTCAGCCCTTCGACAACCAATCCCATGGAATAACCTCGCAGACCGTGAAAAAATTCTTATGGCAGCAAATCATATGTCGCTTCAGAGTGCCAAGGGAACTCACAGTGGACAACGGAACTCAGTTTGATGGTGAGGTTTTCAAAGAGTTTTGCTTGCAGATTGGAACGAAGGTGTGCTTTGCCTCAGTAAGACACCCTCAGTCCAATGGCCTCGTCAAACTAGCAAACGACATAATTCTCCAAGGCATCTCGAAAAGATTGCATGGCAAACCAAAGGGAAAATGGGCAGAAGAACTCACCTTGGTCATATGGTCTCACAACACCTCCGAGTCTAGAGCAACAAAATTCACACCCTTCAAACTCCTCTTCGGAGAAGAAGCCGTCCTTCCAGAAGAGCTCACTCACAAATCACCAAGAGTAACCTTCGCAAAAGACGGAACAGACACCCATGACGAGGAGCAGTTAACAAAAGACCTCGCAGAAGAACTTAGATGCCAAGCAGTCAACAACCTTCGCATATATCAAGCTGAAACCGTTCGGTCGCGAGACAAGAAGGTAAACCCCCGCAAAATTAACTTACGATACATGGTGCTAATCAGAAAACAAAACGCGAAGATGGCGGGCAAGCTCCAACCAAAATGGCTAGGCCCATACTAGGCCACTCAAGCAAGCAAACCTGGGGCGTACAATCTCCAAGACAGCGAGGGAAACCAGCTCCCTCACACTTGGAACATCGACGATCTTCGCAAATATTATCCCTAGTGGCGTCTTAGCGTGCGCTCGCACAATGTAATTTTCCTTTTTTTCATTCAACAATGTAAAAACTTGGCGCTGCACTCTTTTTCCTTGCGAAGGGGTGCAAGGTTTTTTAACGAGGCAGTCGCTCTACCCTCTAATGTAATAATCATTCACCAAAACTCAAACCTTCGTCAAAACGGGTGGCCCATGGTCGACCTAGCCTCATCGACGCAAAGTATGGGTAAAGATTTGTACCAAGTAGGTCTCCCAGGCTCAACACCCGCTTTGTACAAAACATTCCTCAAAACCCCACAAAGCAAACCACACCCATCTTTAAGCCAAAGGGTGGACACAGAGGTCAAACCAAGTGAGCACCCTCGCAAAACGCCAGGGGCTCACAAAGCAAACCCCACCCATCCTCAAGACCAAGGATGGACGTGGAGGTCAAAACAAGTGAACACCCTCGCAACGCGCTAGGGGCTCACAAAGCAAACCCCACCCAACCTTAAGACAAAGAATGGACGCGGAGGTCAAAACAAGTGAACACCCTCGCATCGCGCCAGGGGCTCACAAATCAAACCCTACCCATCCTTAAGACAAAGGATGGACGTGGAGGTCAAAACAAGTGAACACCCTCATAATGCGCCAAGGGCCCACAAAGCAAACCCCACCCATCCTTAAGCCAAAGGGTGAACGCGGAGGTCAAAACAAGTGAGCACCCTCGCAAAACGCCAGGGGCTCACAAAGCAAACCACACCCATCCTTAAGCCAAAGGATGGACACGTAGGTCAAAACAAATGAGCACCCTCGCAAAACGCCAGGGGCTCACAAAGCAAACCCCACCCATCCTTAAGCCAAAGGATGGACGTGGAGGTCAAAACAAATGAGCACCCTCGCAAAATGCCAGGGGCTCACAAAGCAAACCCCACCCATACTTAAGCCAAAGGATGGACGTGGAGGTCAAAACAAATGAGCACCCTCGCAAAGCGCCAGGGGCTCACAAAGCAAGCCCCACCCCTCCTTAAGACAAAGGATGGACACAGAGGTCAAAACTTGCGAGCACCCTCGCAAACCACACCAGAGGGTAGCAAACCAACCCCAACCGAACCTCGAAACAAAACCTAACGCAAAGGGCATTCACATTACGCCAACTCAAAATTCAACGACACAAAAACAAGAGGGACCCACAAAAATTATGAGTCGTACGTCAAATTCAAAAAGAAGACTTGTTACATCAAGAGATGCATTCATTAAACACACCAACTTCATCAACAAAATGACAAATCTCCCAATAACCACCGCTCTCATTAAAACATCGAGAAACGAATCGATAGAAATTAAATGCTCCATCAAGGAACCATCCACCCACCCAACTCTAAAACAAGCCGCCAGCCTAAAGCCAATAGCTGATTTGCCCTATAAATACCACCCCCAAACCACTCAATGGGTCGACCAGGAACAACAACCAAAGCCACAATTCTTAAACCTCCCACAGTCGAAAATGCCTCGCAAACCCGCAAAACCTCGCAAGAGAAAAGCCCCGCCAAAAAAACCACCCGACCCTACCCTCGACCAGTCAAACGAGGGTACCACAAGAACAAACGTAATGTTAGGGACAGCTAGAACAATCTCATCCGTGAGCCTAGCTAAAGCAATTCCAAAATCTAGAGCACTCAGGGGATACCGCAAGAAAAAAACGTAACATCCCCCCGAGTGCTCCCTTGCCGCCAATCTCGAGCCCTAGAGCGAAGGGATCGCCAACACCTCCTACTGGAAATTGGTGTGCGCCAGCCAACACCTTCGCCCAGCTACGCAAGCCCCGAGGTTCGCATATATCTAGCAACCCTCGGGCGAAGGTTCAGCGAAGGCAGCGTCGACAAGGGCTTCGGCACCACCCACCAAAAACTCAAGAGGAGGGGTTTCAATCCCTCCCTACTGCAAGTGGGCAATCAGCCGCACGCCAATGAAGAGAAACTCACGCTCAGAGCGGTGTGGAGCCTCACGGGATTCAAGCTCCACAAGAAGGAAACGTGTGGCCCCTGAGGCTGACCAACACAGCATCGACAGGGACCTCTGTCGCCAAGGCAAAAAGAAGCATCCGAGGGCTCATCAAGGTTCATCATCAATCGGCGAGCAGAACCCAATATACCACATCATCGTCCACTAGGACCACACTAGAAGAAGCCCACTCCAGCAAATCCTCGATGTATTTAGCAATAGCGATGTTTTGTAATCTCCGTTAAACGAATCAAAGTCAAATTTTAGCTTTTCCATTCGATTTC